CCCCGTGGGTCCCTTCCTCGACGTGCAAAGCAAAAGTGCAACTGGTGGAGCGGCGGCTGCGCCCGCGCAGAGGAACGGGGTGGGAGGGCACTGCTTTTGGGGTGCTCCCCCTGCCCTGGGGCCTGCCTGGACTCTCCTCCTCTTTCCTTTTCTATTTTTGTGCTTTTATGTCTGTATTTGTAGACCTGATGGTGGTTTCAGGGTGTTTTGGGAACTGTTGCCCCAGTAGCTGCCCCTGCTGCCAAAGGAGGGGGTCTGGGGATGCTCGACCCCTGGTAAAGCAGAGCTGGCTCCCAGGGGCAGGTGACCACTGGCAGAGCCCCTCTGTGAAGGGCACGGGGCTGAGGCTGAGGGAGTGAGATGCTTCATCCATTATTTTCCTTCCCCTCACTGTCCCCTTCTCTCTCATCTGGGTGTTGTTACCCCGTGCTGCAGTTCCAGTGCTCTGGGGGAGCTGATCAGGGTCGGGTTTGGGCTCCTCCAAAAGCAGCGGGTTCTCCACGGTCGTTATTTTCTTGTTCAGTGGATTTGACGGAGCAAACCAGGGTGAGAGCCGAGGGCTCTTCCAAGAGTGCCCTGAAGTGGTGTCACCCATCCCCAAGTTCCCGAGCCATCGTGGTCCCCATCGGCAGAGGGCAGAGCTGGCTCTGGTTTGATTTTGAAAAGCGGCACTTCCCCGGTTATCCAGCTGGGGACTCCAGCTCAAGAAACATTAGAATTACCACCTTTTAAGATCAAGAGTGATCACTGATTCTCCATTCAATTGGTTAATTTGAAAAAGTGACTTTTTTTAACCATTTCTGTAGCAATTCAACCTTGCAAAGCCTTGCAACCTTGCAAATCAAATTGAAGATTTGCAACTTTGTAATTTGCATTTACTCATTTTTCTTACGTGTCTGCTCAGGAGAACAGGACACACTTTGCAGCATGGTTTGTGGAGAGGGTTTCAGCTCTGCAAAGGGTCACACAGGTAGTGAGGTGCTGTGTCCCCACCCCAGCATCTCATACCTGCAGCAGGTACCAGGGTCTCTGTGCCACCTACACCTTTCAAGCATCATTGATTTACTCAGATCACAATTCCTATTTACAGCAGGGGTTTGTAGCTCTAGATACCCCTTTTTATTTTGGTTTATAAGAAATGAATCTCTTGGGCACATTGTGGGCTCTTACAGCCTTGCAGGGCACGGGGTTTGTCACCCCTGTGGTGGCATCGCTCCTCACTGGGATCACACCTTCCAGAAATGCAGCCATGTCCCCATTCCAGCAGCTGATACTCCTGCTGGTTAAAGCTTCCAGCCTTCTTTTGAGGCTGCTGATGACTTGATGTGCCTTAATTAGTGTAGTGTGGGAGCCAGAGCCTTCAGCACTGCGGGATCTTCACCGCAGAGTTGTCCCCTGGGTGCAGGGCTGGGTTTCTCTCTGATGCTTTTGGATTGGCAGCTTTCAGGGTTTGGGGTTTAGTGCTGAAATGGGGTTTGTTGCTGTTGTGATCTCCTGGGATGGGATCTGAGCCCTCAGTGGAGGATGCTGCCTCAGGTCATGTCAGTCCCGGGGTGTTTCCCTAATTTCGGCAGGATCTGGGATGTGAAGCATTCCCAGCACCTCCCAGCAGCTGCCTCTGCTGCTCTCACACTTTGCAAAGTGTTCTCACTGTAGGGATTTAAAGAAAAACCTTTTACTTCCTCTCCCTCACCCCAAAACTCTGTGATGTCACCCCTGGTGGTCCCCAGGCCCTGTCCTCCCAGCCTTTCCCTGTGTGCCCCTGGCACCCCCTGCCTCCCACAGGGACTGAGGGGGATGGTTTGGAAGTGACTTTAATAGACCATAAAACTGAGGCCAGTCCCAGGAAGAGCAGAAGGACCAACCCCCTCGTGGCTGAGCACACCTGGCCTTGGATGGACACCTTTGCTGTTCCCACTCACACACGTGATGGATTCTCCACTTCACTTTCACTTCCCCAGGAACCAGCCTGTTTATGAGAAAGCAGAGCCTGAGCTTGGACAGGGAGTGGATGTGCTGCACTGAGAGAGTTTTTGTTTCAGAGCACAACCTTTCAGAGCACAACCATATCCTGTTTTGCTCCCTGTGTGCATCACCACCAGCATCCATCCTATTTCCCATGGCTCCAGGAGCCTCCTTGGGGGGTGTGGGTGGGAACTGAGGGTGCCTTTACTGGCAGCCAAGTGCCAGTCTCTGAGCTGTGCTGTCCCCAGGGCACAGAGTGGCAGCACTGGCCAGACCCTCCCCAGTCCTATTGTTGAGGCCACCAAAAATCAGGACTTGAAGCTGGGCACCAAATCACAAAGCAATTATTTTACAGTGTAAGATAAAATTTTATCTAATAGTTGTATTTTTCTCTTATTATTTATATTTTACCTTTACTCACATTTTTACCTTATAAGAATTGGAAGTTTTCAGGTTAGCTAAGAATGTCCTTCATGATCTTGTGGGATTTCCTTAGGGAGAAGCAAACTAGGCCTTTCTGATCTGCAGAGAGTCTTTAATAGCAATAATTCCTGGGAATGGGTCACGTGTCTGCTCTCCACATGGCTGGTGATGTCCCAGGGGAGGGCACACACACTGGTAGGAGCGTGTCTGGAAAGGGGGATGCAGCTGGGCTTGCACAGAGCCGGGGATGTAGACACAGCTCTGGCACTGGGCTGGGGCTAAAATCCCCTGCATTTTCCTGCCCTGTCTGCCTAAGGCAGGGGATCTTTCTTTACAAACCAAAAATCCCTGTTGAAGGAGCAGGACTGAGCTGAGGCCGCGCCTGCTGGAAGGGACCTCCTGGCTGGGGCAGGGCTGAGGCTTTGGCTGTTCCTCGCGGTGCCGAGCACCCTGACAGTGCTGAGCACCCTCACAGTGCTGAACGTAGCTGTGGCATCCAGGCAGAATTCCCAAATCCCCTCCCTTGTGTCCCCAAGAGGACCCTGCAGCACAGGAGGGACTGACAGACACCCCTGGGGTGCTGTCCCACCACACCCCATGACTTGGGCTGTGCAGGGTGGTGTTGGCTGAGCCCACGGACCACAAAATTGGATTGGGGTCTGATGAAATCACGGCTGTCTGGAAAACTGCTCCCTGGCTTGGAAAGCTGCTCCCTGGCTCAGCTGGGCTTGAAGCAGCAGAATTTGCTCTCTGTGTATTTGGGTTGTGCTCAGCACTGAAGCCCGTGTTGGTGTTTGTTCCTTTGCCAGGCACAGCACTTCCCCCTCTCCAGCACAAGGTGGGTGGGTGGAGAAGCTGCTCCTTGCCAGCAGTGGTGCCAAAAATCAGGAGAGTCTGTGAGGCTCACTGCTGGCTCAGTGGTGTGAGCTCTGCTGGGGCTGAGTGGTTTTCCAGAGGCAAAGTCACTTTGGGGCTGGACTGGAAGTGTGTGGTCATGGAGGGAGGATAAAGGTAATTTTAGCAGAGAGAAAAGCAACTTCCCTCCTTCCCTGTGGGGCCCTAGAAAGAGTTGTGCACAGGGATGTCTTCTTGGATACTCCCAAGTACTGCATAACTGTACGGAAAAGTAAGCATAGGGTTGGATGGGATATTGGGATACTGGGGGAATTCCTTCCTGTGAGGGTGGGGAGGCCCTGGCACAGGTTACCCAGAGAAGTTGTGGCTGCCCCTGGATCCCTGGAAGTGTCCAAGGCCAGGTTGGACAGGGCTTGGAGCAACCTGGGCTAGTGAAGGTGTCCCTGCCCATGGCAGGGGGTGGCACTGGATGGGCTTTAAGATCCCTCCCAACCCAAACTGTTCCATGGTGGTTCTATGACTGATAAAACAGGAGGCTGGCAGGTGTCTTGAGGCTCCAGAAGGGCAGAAAGCACCAGTTTCTACTGAAAAAGAATGTTTCTTCAGGGTTTGGTTTGCACAAACCCCAGCAAAATCCTTGCTCCCCAGTGCATCTGTCCCAGCAAGGGATTTTCCTGCTGTATTTCCCACAGCCCAGGGAAGGGTTTGCTGTGACAGTTCCCACGTGACAGATTAGTGAGAGTTCTTGGTTTGCTTTCTCTTTCCTGTTTTCTGTTTGGGAGGGGGAAGCTGCGCTGCAGAAATGTCAGCAAAGCAATGTGAAAACAGGCTGGCAAAGTCCCAGTGGGAACTGGAGCTACTGGGAAACCCGGAGCTGGTGCTGCCAGGAAGGTTGGAGCTGCTATACGGGATTTGTGGGTCAGCAGGACTTATAAATACCTGTCTGTGGTCACTGAGGGCTACCTGGATGTCCAGCCCAGCTACTCAGGGTTGTACCATTCCCAAAACACGCCCCCAGGAAAACCCACACTCCTGGTGATGGTGCTGGTGGTGTGACTGCTCCTGTCTGTGCCCGGAGCCAGTCCCGGTATCGGTGAGGTTTTCCCGGCTTTCCTGTTTTGCCTCCACACGCTGCTGGGTTGGGCCATCTGAAACAGCATTTTTCCACCCCTGAAAACTTTTTTTTTTTTTTTTTGCCCCGAGGCAAACAAGGAAAACATGCCCTTTTGTTATTTATATTTTTTTGTGAGAGGAGGAGGAGATTCGGGACAGAATGAGCCGCAGGGCAGCATGTTTGCTGCCTGTCCCGGGGTTTGCTGCCAGTCCCTGGCACGCTGTAGGTACCAAAGCAAATTCCTCCAGGTTGTCTGGATCTCCCCATCTGGTCCCCCCCTCCAGCCTGAGCACTGTGAGGATAAACCCCCGCCCTCTCTGTTCTTCCCAGAAATGCTGCATGGCTTGGAAATGTGCATCCAATCACGGGAAAAGCTGTTTTCTATCAAACCCTGTCTGCCTACGTTTACTTATATAATTCCCTAAGGGTTTTTTGGCATTGCCTTGGCCCAGGAGGAGGAAAACTCATAGCCCCTTGCACTGGCCACTCCGTGAGGGGCCGTGGTGACAATGGCACCTCTCTGAGCCCCAGACTGGGGTGTCCATCCCCAAATTGTATAATTATTCTTATTATGCACCATGTCTGCTCTCAGGGCATTTACAAGCACTTAAAGTAATATTCCTGAAGCTAAAATACGTGTTGGGATCATTTTATTTCCTTGGAATTTGAAGCTTTCAGCATGTACTTGGGTCAGTTTTGTAAACTTTTCTAGGGACCCAGCGGGGGTTGGGACATTTGCTGGTATTCAAAGCAAAACTGAACGTTTGGATAACATCTGAATCTGCAGCCACAGGCGTCAGCAAGGTGATAAATAACACAACACTCCTCATAACAACACAAGAAACAGCAACACCAACATGAGTCCTCACTTTTGCAGCTCACACCAGGTTTCTGTGAGTAAACGTGCTCAGGGAGACATCCTTCATCTTCCTCTTTGCTTGTGGCATATCCATCACTATTTCTCTTCAAATATTCATCCCCCCCTATCAGCTGAGCACCCTGCAGCTCCCAGGAGCCAGGTGTGGATCCTCTTGCTGAGCTCTGGGTGCCTTTCCCAGTAGTGTCAGCTGAGCCCAGTTTGTTTGCACACTCCCTTTAACACTGGTGGGCTGTAGGTTAATGATCTTTGCTTGGTATATATTGGTAGAGTTTTAGTCTTGCAGTCCAGATTAGCCTGGATCAGGTCTGGGTGGTGGATTTTTGTAGTGGAAAGAGGTTCAGTTTATGTGGAGATACTGAGCTATCCTGATCCAGAGCCTCCCGTGAGTGTGGTGGATGCTCTAAGTTGCTATAGGCTGTAGGTGCCCATGTTCAGAGCTGGAACTCCCAGAGCTCACTCACAACTCAGGATTCAGAAGGATTTTCAAATGTGACAAATATGGAGAAGCACTGAAACACCAAAATAAGAGGGGTCTGAACCTGCTGTGGTTCAGCACAAGGGCTCTGGCACTGCTGACAGCTTTTGGAGGGATTTTAACAGTATTCCAAAAGAAAGTGGTGTCAGGCAACAGCCCCCAGCAGCAACAACACAACCAGCAAGTCTTTTGGCATCACAACATCCTGCTGGGTCAGATCCTGCCATCTGTGGCACACAAGGGGAATTCAAGGTGTGTTTGGAGACCTAATGCAGTCCTCGAGCGACGAGAAGCCCCTGCACGGGCAGAGCTGCCGATGTTCAGGAGATGGACTCCAGCAGCAGCTCGTCGGGCGGCACAGGGGGCATTTCCACGCTGTTTATTCGGCCAAAGAACTTGGGGAGAGACCGAAACCTGAAGCGTGGGAAGTTCCTGTTCCTGGTGCGGATGTCGGTGTCGGCGGTGGAGAGGCTGCTCCGGTGCTGGGCGAGCCGGGCCCGGAGGGCGACGCAGCCGTGGCGCAGCAGCTGGTCCTGGAACTCGGAGGTCATGAAGTAGTAGAGGACGGGGTCCAGGCAGCAGTTGAGGCTGGCCAGGCACAGGGAGATGGGGTGGAAGCGCAGCGTGCTCCGGTGCACGGCGCAGTCCCGGATGAGGTTCTCGATGACCATCATGAAGAAGGGGAAGTTGATGTGGTAGGGGGTGAAGCAGATGAAGAACACGGCCGAGCACATCAGCACCATCCTCAGGGCCTTCTGCTTCTCGCCCGCGTTCTGCAGCTGCGCGGGGCCCTCCCGCAGCGACTGCCACATCTTCCACGTGCAGCCCGCGATGATCCCGAAGGGAATGACGAACCCGAACAGCTCCGCCACCGTCACCAGCGCGATGGAGGCGCCGGGGCTGAGCTGCTTCACCCCCAGGTCCGAGAAGCAGGTGTTGATGTTGCTGGACAGGGCCGGGCTCCTCACGATGATGAGGGGCAGGCACGCGGCCCCCACGAAGAGCCAGACCAGGGCGCTGGTGGCCACGTCGTAGCGGCGCTTCCAGCCCTTGGCCCTGAAGGGGTGCAGCAGGAACAGGTAGCGCTGGATGCTGATGCAGGTGAGGAAGCAGATGCTGGCGTACA